CAGCGGATTCGCTACCTGAAAGGTCAACTATTCAACTGTAAATTTCATTGATTTAAAACTTGGAACGTTGAAACTTGAATGTTGAATGTTGAAACTTGAATGTTACATGGAATTGTGCCATTAAAAATGTGAAACTCTAATAGTGAGTGAAAACTAATAATAATACTATGCACTATTATGCACTAATTCCATTGCAGTCTTTTGTTTGTATGTGTAATCAAATGGTGACGACTGAAATTAGGGAATAATTTCACGAGTATATACCATTTGATTACCTATTAACATCATGGGTGACGAATTACGTTAGCAATCTTGGATTTTTGACATGTTTATCCGGGATCGTATCGATCGAGAACTCCTGCACTCTCTCGAACGTTTAGAGCTTAAATTTGGCTTAAGTTCAGAGTTTTTCGACAAAATACCTGTTAGAATCCTTCTTGATGTGCTCTTTCGTGTATTCAGGTTTCTAAAGCGTCTTTTTGTGCCCTGGCATCTTCATTCATGACATTTTCACACTTCGTCGCCATCTTGACACTGAGACTTACGGAAGGTTGCCAAGGCAATTTTGTAATTTCACATGTGAAATTACAAATTAAAGCTGAAATTTCGCGCCAAAATTAAGGAGTAATTCGCCACCTATGATATTAATGGCGTTATATCCTCGTCAAAATTCAAGGTTTGCTTTCGATGTTCAAGTTATGATTTAACCCTGTTCTTCACCATGCGACATTTGAATTTCGTAATTCAACATTGCTGTTCACCATGGCGACATTTGAGTTTTATAATTCAACATTGTTGCTTACGATGTGACATTAGGGTTTCACAATGAGACATGGGAGTTTTACCTTCCAACATTTCCGTTTGGTACGTGACATCCGACTTTCCCAATTGTACCTCGGTTTCACATTTTACAATACTACTACCTCTTTCACGGGTCAAGTAGAATCACTCTAAGATGCTCCTGTAGAGTCATAATATCATTAAAATTTCACTGGAAGCACTGTTTACTGTGGTAATGTCTCATAACTGATCATACTTTGTGAGCGTCGATAAGTGTAATAGATACATCGCACTTTGTAATGTCCTGTCTCGCAATAAACCTTGTCGCATTTTGTAATAAAAAGCGGTAATAATTTGTAATAACTGTCCATCGCAATATGTAACGTAAGCAGTGTTGGAATTTGTATAGGTAATAGCATGATTTGTAGTGATGTTTGGTATAAATACCACGAGTGATATTTCAAAATTGTTGTACGTAATTTCACGTCGAGCCTTTTTAGGCAACTGAAATTTGAGACAATTTTGAAATATCACCAGTGGTATTTATGTCTAAATTCACTTACAAAAGGTTTGTAATTTTCACATGTAGGTATTTCAAATTAAGCTGAAATATACCACTGCTCTAAGCCAATCGAATTGCAGAAATTTCTTATGTAGTAGTGTAAGCATTGTAATTGCCCCCTAGGGTTTGAGGCCGGAGCCCGAGGAAGCACCCTAAATCCCCCCGCGTAGAGAGGTATCGTTTTTTTTTTCTTTGTATTAGGGTAACATGCGAAATCTTCTCGATTTGAAGAAACTAGGCGCGCAAGGTGGTCCCAGTTATTTTTTCAGCTTGCGCGCAAGGCGGTCTTGAATAATTCTGGTTCAGCAAGCGCGCAAGGTGTTATTGGGAAATTCTGGAAACACGATCCTCCACAACCACCTTCCCCTCTTAGCCACACTTCCATGAAATTTCTAAGTCTCTTCAAATTTCCTCTGTTCTAATCTTTTTCTTAGAAAATTATTCCTCGAGCCCGAATGGGCTCTGAGTCAATAGCCCATGAGGTCGAAGGCCGAACGGGCTATTGACTCAGAGGCCATGAGGGCGAGAGGAATAATTGTTTTAGTAAAATCCAACTAGTTGGTTAAAAATATCGAGAAAAATATAAATTAGCTAGTTAAAGCTAGACATTAATCCTTTTTTGCCGTCAAAAAGCCCCCGCTTTTCGCTACTAGGGGGCTATAACATATAGCCTAGTAGTAGCTCAACCAATCAGAATGCAGCGTTGATAATAGACCATTAGCTGGACTTAATTTTACTAAAGTGATATTTTCTATTTTCCAAAGACATGATCTTCCTAGTATAAGTTATGTATTGCTTCATCCAAATACAGACTAAAAAGAAGACATACAATTATATTTGTATTTTGTAATCCTAAAGAAACTCCAGTAATGTGAGCCATTACTAAGCATAGATACAAGCATTATGACTCTAAACGCACAAAAATGACATAATAATATAGGGCCAGTTCAAACGTCGAAATTTTCATGTACCGAACTTGATACCTATTTGAGAGTATTTTAAGATCAAACGCTTTATCTTTGTCGGTCACTCGACCACTTTGCGAACTTTGGGTAATGATTATGACAGTGCACATTTTAATTACCTTCAACATCAAAGTCTCCTCGCATTGTACTGTATCATCGGTCACTGTCTGTTTTACTTCTACGAAAGACGATCCGTATGCTGTAACGAGCATGCATGAAGATAAACGAGCCAAGACGAGAGAAAAAAATTAAATGCATGAGTCATCTATATAAAACTCAGTCGGCGCCAGTTCCACCTCATCCCATAATGCCCATATTAAGAGAACACACGGTGTCCCATCATTAAACTTTGAGCAAGCATTTTAGTCGAGTACAAGTTTCAGTTGCGAAGATGTTGAAGTAGTGATAGTGAAATTTCACGTTTTTCTGCTCCCCATTCAGCTTTTATGCTCCCCATACGTGGTACTTCATACAACCTAGGGATTTCTAGTTAAAGGCAAAAGAGTCTGTTTTCGTGTAAGTTGGAGATTCCTCCAGCGCAAGCGCTTGGATACTGAATTATGCCGATTGCAATAACGATCTCGCGCTTTTTTTTTTGTTAAATTCTTCTTGTCTTTTTGTCCATTTTCTTAACTTTCTTGTTTCCTAGTAATTTGTGTCCTTCGTTGAAAAAAAAAAAATATCACTGAACAGGTGCTGGGGATTTACCAATTAAGTGCTTATCTTACGCTCTTCGTTTGTACGCTGGGTGATCGATTTCTCAAAGTCATCGAGGAGCTCTACACTTGCTTAGTAAGGATCCTAACTGACTTTGCTATTAAAAATTCCAATAACACACTATTCAGTCAACAGCTGATTTCATATATGTTTTGCATTTTTTATTTCTTTACTAGATAGGTCCAGCTGTCTGCTACTTATGGAAATTTTCAAGACATCCACACGTTTACAGATTTGGCCCCAGTCGCTCAAAACCTGGATAAGGCGATACGCTGCTGGATAATCTTAATCTAGTGGATAGCACAATTGGTTCCCGGCCTTAACAATTATCCCTGACTGGACAATGATTTATCAGGTGGATAGCGCTATCCATCGTTTCAGCAACAGGGCCACATCAGTCTTACATACATTACAAAATGTGTTAATAAACCTATTAACCTCGGTTCAGGAGCACCCAACGGCTTTTTTCTGTAAATTATCTGTTCGGAGAAGCAAATAATTGCCTATTACTCGATGACCATTGCATCCATGTACAATTTTCAAAGCTTATCTAAAAAATTCTGCGATTTTCAGAAGTTTAATTTTTCAACTTTCACTCCCCAGGTTAGGCTATTTTTTGTAGGAAAAAGGAAACCTAAAATTTCCGGATTCAAAAATGTGATGGAGAGAGGAATTAATTTTTTTTTTTTCTTATTGCGCTAAATTGCATCTAAAATTTCAGGGAAAATAATACTGAAGCCCCTGTAATTTCGAAAAGACTGATAAGTTCCCCTAGGATGACCGAAGAGATCTCACAAATTTTATAGCGCCCTTTAGAATGCATTTCTAGAGGTCTGAAAATACTCTGGATAGCCTAAAAAGGCCTTTCATGAATATTTATTTGGAAGAAAACCGTCGTTGGGCGCCCCTGTTTGTTTCGCGTCAAGGGTAGTAATTAGTAAAATTGAACTGAGAACGAACTAATTGGCAAAGGTATCAGATGTGCTGGCTCTGAGCGACAGTCGTAGAGTTTTTCACCTTAAAGGTACAATATGGGTCATTGATCTGGTCATTGCATTGATCTAATGCGCGTCAAAGCTACCTTTGTACAACTGTTAGCCATATTTGACCACAACCTTCGCTCTATTTTTGTTGCAAAATCAAAGTTGACAATCACTCAAAACAGCGTTAGCAAATGATGTTAACAAGATTAATAGTGTTATGTCCAGGCAAATATACACCACACCGTAGCCTGCGAAAACACCCGTTTCTCCTCGCTCTTCGCCGATGGGGACGTTTCGCGCAGAGGAATTGGATTGCGTCATCGGTATGGAATTTCTGCCGCTGAGTCTCAGACGTTTCTCCCCGCGAAACGTCCCCGGCGGCGAAGAGCGAGGAGAAACGGATGTTTTCGCAGGCTAACCACACTGTGAACAAGTAGATATATTGAACGTTGTCAAACAGAAGAAACTGAGGCGCGAAAATACTTTTCAATATAACTTGATTCCTGACTGTTATTCAAGTAAGCGCTCGATCACGGCTAGCCTGCGCACTGGCGGGATTAGCAAGAAAGTATCCCCGGGCACAAGAATCCCGCCAGCTACGCAGGATAGATCGCGGCGACCCTACGTTATTTGAGAAAAATGGAGTCAATTATTAGACTTAGCTCTCTACGTTTGAATTTAAGAGGTCTTTGCTTGTTTTTCTCTGCATGCCTGTATAAATAAAATCGCAGTAGGTACAAAGGAAACTTGAAACGCTCGAGCTATCCCAACATTGATGTTAAGTCATAAAAGACGGGAATGTGAGATAGATACGTATGCATTCTTTTTAAAGTTCAAGGGGCGTTAAACATAATGTGAAAATTGAAGATTAAACAAACTGGGCACCTGCGTTTGTTTCATTATTTTAGATCAATGTTACATTAATTTAGTGATTTATTTATCAATGGCATCCTTGAGCCTGTTTGTCTTGTATGGTCTACCATGTCTTTCTTCTCAATTTCGGTTAAACAGCCGAATGGTAGGAAATCGCAGCCTTCTGTAAATTTCTTGAAGTTTGCATCGATGTCTGGCCCTACAGTAAAATTAGAAAAAAGATATGCGATCCTTAATTACTGCGCAATGCTTTTAAGGCAGTGGCCCACTGCGTAGGAACGTCTTCCTCAGCGTTTATCGGAAAAAGGTCTTTCTAGACGGCATGACCTGAAAAACTCTGCTTACCCGATGTTGGAATTCTCCTCCTACTCTTTTTAGTATTGCATCAAGCTTCACCATTATTTCATTCACGTTCTTCTGCAAATGGTCCACTTTTGCTTGAACTATAAATAAAAAGAATTTAAATAGAATCTTTAAAGCCTTGCAAAACACTCTCAGTCACAACTATCCAATCTACATCCCAGCCTTCGATGTGCTAAAAGAGTTTCATTTTTACTGAGTGAGGTGCATATTTATCAACAAAATGCAAAATTTTGTTCTCTTAATTGCTTGCTGTCCTGTATCGATTAGCTTTCTTAGGAACTGACAGAGAGAATCTAAAGGATGATCGAAGGATGAGCTTCTCATTTAATTTCCAAGGATGCTGGCAAAGTACCAAGAATCGAAACTGTTCATTTGAGCACACCATGCGAAAACGTATAATAATCGTTATTGTACAGGGTTGGTGTAAACACAGTTTCAAAGTCTATAAAATTGACTGAATTGGCGTTTAAGGATGTTGTCGTACCTCGAGCAAGACAAATCCATTGAAGATCAGTTTTTTAGAACTTAAAATTATTCTTTCTTGATTGAACTTATTTGTTCTCACCTGACATAGGAAAGGCTTCTCCGTATTTCTCTTGGTAACGTTTCGTGATTTTAGGGAAAAGATCTTTATTATAAAATTTTTGATAAATCCTGCGGTGGTCTTTAGCCCGCTGAAGCCAAAAACAATGATTTGCGATTAGTCAAGCATTTAAGTCACATTTCCTAATAAAGTTGTATTTACTGAAACCGTACCCAATCTTTCGAAAAAACTGCAAAAGTACATACACGAGACATTTAGAAAGAGATCCTAAGTCAGTTTTGTGCGGCAAATGTGTAGGGTCTCCGTTTTGGAGAGGTTAAATCTCATTATCAGTCAGTCAGTTTTTTTCCGTTTCTGATTGGCTCAAATCCCCGGGCTATGGCCCAATTCATTCATCGTGCTTCCGCCGTGCCGATCGTAATTCTTGAATTAAGTTTGACAAAAGCAGGGCAGAAGCACAAGGTCTCTAAACCAATTACATTACTTGAGTTGGGCACAGTACAAGCACGACGAATGAACTGGCCCTAATTCTTCATAACCAGTTAGCTTTGACCAAATTCGGAAGACATTTGCGACATCCAATAAAACGACATCAATAGTAAAGGCTATTGCCAGAAAAAAGTGACGACAACCGAGAAGCCCTGGGAACGAGGGCGTGTTAGCTGAGCTGGGGCCTGTTTCTCGAAAGGACCGGAAACATTTCGGGCCCGAAAAAAATCAGAACCTTTTGAATAGTAGCAAAGTTCCTAGTTCACAAACCAAACATGCAATTTTGATTTGTTAACTGATAGTTTCATTGAATCATTTTCAGAATTACCGAAACTTTGATCTTGAATGCAAACACGGCAAACAGGAAACAGTTTTCCTAGCCCGAAAAGCTATCGCGATTTTCGAGAAACGGGCCCCTGGTTCAGTGGAGCTGGAGAAAATGGTGGAAAGGTTCGTAGACTTCTCACGTTTTACGAAGAAGAAATAGCAAGAAACGGAAAATACAACTCGAAGGGTGACAACTGCTAATTGAAGAAGATCTGCTAGCCAAAGAACATCTCCTTTTATTTGAATTTGCTTCCTACCCCTCCCCTAAGCCAACATTTTGCCCTAAGAGAGAAGTAAGTGTGAATGTTGGCTTAGGGGAGGGGTAGGTGGACAGTTTCATGATGCCGAGTAACAGGCAAATGAAGACGGAAACTAACCGATCAAGGGCTAGCATGTCTTTTAAAGTAAGAATTATTTTATAATAAATGAATATAATAAAGCAATTGTGGATTCGGCTTTCATATATTCTCAACAATTATGCGGGCAGAGGTGGATTACACCCTTCCGATCTGCATAAGTTCGAATAATTCTTCAGATCATACCCAATAATTGCTAATTAACAAAAGGTGGTCTTCATGAATGAAATGAGATGAAACTGATGTGTTTTCGGGAACGGTAGGTATAACACGTTTGTCATGTTAAGGCCTTTGTGCAATAATTATCAGTTGGGGGATCTTACAACGAAAGGGACGAAAAGACTGTGAAGACGTAATACACTCAGAGAGGGGAGAAATGTCTAAATTATGCACCTTGGGGGCGAGATATCTTATTTTCCACACGAGACAAGACGTCGTAAGTATATAGAACATTAATATTAGTGAGGGATAGGAATAGGATGACATCGTGTATATACATATTCGTTAGCTAAGACTGATTCCGGGTTAGGAAATTATCTGCAGCTAGCCTCTCCTAACCTCTGCTCGGCTGTCTCCGTACTTCTTGATATAACAGTGAGAGATAGGGAAGGTGATGATGTTGAAAGGAACAACAATGGGATGATGTCTTCTATATTCATCAGCGACTACTGCGCGAGCAAATTTCCATTCCACATCTGCGTTAGTCTAAAAACAAACATGGCCAACAAGAAATGTTGTTAAAACATTCACTCAATCCCGTATTCCGTAAGCCATTTAAAGAATTTTATCCTAGGAAACGCAACATTAAAGAGTGCATATTAGGGGACCCAGATGCTTTAATTATCTCCTGCGGGTGTCGAGTCAATAAAAATAGACATATTTGATTGTTTTTACGACGTTTTGCTTTCACTCTTCTAAGTAACTCTCAGTTCTTTTAAGGTCTTAGAGGGTCTTTGTCACAAGGATATTAGACATATTACTGTTTTAAGTAAAATCTGCTCTTTGTCATTGGCTGCAATAAAGAACACCAAACAGTTCTAGTGCCTGCTGAACCACTATTTTTGGAATTCGATTGGCTGGAAAATAGTCTTTAGTTAGCTTTTTAATTGACAAGATAGCAAAAAGCGAGACATAGTCCCTTTAAAATAACACTCACACGAACCTTCCAACGTAGATTGTGGCCCGAATCTATTTATATGCGTGTTGGTGATGTTTTTGATTTGTTTTTTTCAGAATGAAAGTTTCAACCGATTTCGATGATCAAAACGTTACGGCAACGTTATTTACCTCCACTTTACTGTAAGTGTTGTTGAGCAAAGCGACTAGCATGTTGATCAGCATAATGACAGTTAAAACCAGAAACATTACGTAGAGGATTCCAACGACTGTATCTGACCAGGTGTCATGGGATTCCAGGGTCTCCAGATTCGTCAGGCCAAAGACTGACCATACAAGATGGGTAGATGCTTTAAATAAGCTATGCAATGGAAAATAGCACTGATAAAATATGTTGAAATTGCCAGGGAACTAGTACTTCAGCGGTATTAACGCTTTTGGGGGGAAGTTACTGACATGCATCGTTAAAAAAGTCAACGTTATAATCATAGGAAAGAGGATTTAGGCAAATGCATACTTTCTTGTTATTTTCATTATAGAATTTCTGCAGTTGGTCTTTCGTCCATCCGTCATTCTTTATATTTTGATACTAGCTGACAATTACGCTAGTTTTCAAGAAACGAAATTAGTTATCAACTGATTTTAACAATGACAGGTTAACTGCTATCATATTAAAAGAAGATACACCAAGAGGTAAAAAAGAAATGCCAATTCCTGGAAGATACTTACTTATTTTCCCGGCGAACAAAGGCAAGCGGGCAGGATTAGAACAAAAATGCAACGCCTGATCTGCGGGTTAATGAATTCCAGAGGCCTTTAAAAAGCTTAGGTCTATAGAACTCGGCAACAAATTTTGTGTTTTTTTTTTTTTTTTTTATCACGTGAGTAAAGAACTTACCAAGACGATGACCCACTTGCACAAAAGCTAAAAAAAATAAGTTTACAAAGAATAAGTTAAAAAATATAAAACAAAATAACTAGCAAAGATACACATCTGTTAATTTCCGGTTAAAAAAAGAACTTAAGATGAAAACAGCGAGAGAAAAAAAAGGAAAAAATAAACATGCGCTAGCCTCACCTTTTAACCTGGGTCCGGTTGGTTTCCACCTCTTGTGCTGGCGTCAAATAAGACATCTCGGCGGTGTAGATCATTGTGATGGCAACAGAGAAAGCCAAAATTACAAACACAAACTGAACTAAAATGATCATAAGGTCGACGATCATTCTGAACAAAGCCAACTGAAGTGGTCCAACTGTTTTGTATAATTCCAGTATGCTTGAAAACCTCAAGACTAGGAGCAGAGTGTTTACACCGTAGAGATAGTTAATTACCTCCAGTAGTCTGTTATGGTACGGATCTCCACCTTTTATGATGGACGCAACTCTGAGGACAAATATGATGGCGTGACAGGAGAGGGTAATGACATCCACATAGTTCCACATATTTCTGGAGAAGAAAGACAAGACTCAGAAGTATTTTGTGAAGAACAACTTTAGAAATGAGTACCATTTTAACATACGGTAAGCAAAGTAAAAATTTCACGGCAAGTCGGGCGTAAACAGTAAAAAAGAAAACAAAAACTACCTTTCGATCAACAAAGCATGGAAAACAAAATGTCATTAACTACAGTATGTTATCTTCATAAATAATTTAAAGCATCCAAATGTTGGACTCATATAACTCTCACTCTTATAATAGAAGTGAAAAATGTTTTTTATTTTTTATTTTCTAGAATAATATATATATTTATTTGTATTGCTGCTTGAGTTTATGTTGCTAAAGAACAATGTCTAGATGATTTATAGAGGATGAGCAAAAAAGCGAATCCAAATCTCCCTCTAACCACCACTGTAGCTCCTGAAGAGGTAATAGTTTTGTGCTAAAACCCTTTGATCTGCATTAATACATATTTTTTTTTTCAGGTTTGTGACAATTGCTGAATATGTGGACCTCTCATGAAAGTTCTTTTTAAACTTACGCTGAGTTGAGGAGCCCACGCGTCATTGGAAGATAGTCAGAATCAGACCGACAGCTGGACCGAGGAACCCTGATAAGCTAAGTCTGGTTTCAAAAGCTTTTCTGACTCGCAATTAATAAGCGTAACATTCATTGACTAATATAAGGAAAGTCTGAGGAAGGGTTATACGGGAAAGTTAATTACTTTATTAGAGGTCTTAGCCTTGCCATCTTACCGAAAATAAACTTTGGATTGAGATGTATAATATTGCTGAAACTCAGAGATCAACAATCCGATGTAAAATACAAGAATGAGATATTCCTCGATTCTTGGTGATACAGGAGACCCCAGTACACATATTCTGATGTGTAAAGCTATGAACACTACTTGTTGTAGTTTTTCCTTTAAAAAGATGACGAAGGGGGTTGTTAAGTAGTCCAGGTACATATCTGCAAGACAAACATGATAAGTTGTAACGTCGAACACAGTAATTAGACATCGTGGCCAATTCCGCGTTTACATATCATTACTTAGGTGCGTACGTACGCACTGGATTCATAAATGTTTCCAGATTTAAGTACATGTAGGGTATTAGGATTTATAGGCGCCAAAAACGTATTCGGATATGTTTATAGAGACGATGTTGCTTAACGTTTGGCCAATGGGGAGTTTTATAGTAACCCTATTCAGACCGGGGCGAGGGGGGGGCTTTATCCCTCTCTCCAAGACGAAAAAAATTGAATAACTTCAATCAGTTTAAGGTAATTCCCTTGTTTGCACTGCGCACCCTCTACTGCGCATAACATTGCCACATCCAAGATGGCGGCGGTTCTTCTCACTAGCGCGAAAAGAACAAACAAGGGCCGCTTTTGCAGAGCTAAAGCTTTTATTCACAATAATAATGCCGCAGATCGGCCGACAGCTTCCTGGTTTGCTATCGAAAGACAAGAAAATGAAAGAAATGTGCGTGATCCCCAAGTCTGAAGTGATTTTTAACTTCGCGGCCGTCGAGTTGTGGAATTATTAAAATGTACTGGCTGAGGCTTTGGATTATGGGGGCTGTGAAGCCTGTGGGACAGCTCTGCGGCTCTCCAACTGCATTAACGAGCCAGTATCTGGCCTGGGATCGCTACTGTACATGTGTTGTTCAAACTCCGAGAGTGGAGAGACGAATATTTCTGGAACAAATAAGACACACCGTATCGCCAGAACCACGCGAGGGAGACCAGTAAACACGAGGTCTGCTGCTGAATTCACATTTTGCTGTGTATAGAAACCAAACAAGCGAACATATGAAGAATAAGAATCAATAGTCTTTTCTTCAAGTTTCTTTGTCAAGCATTATTGTGCAAAAGCAAAAAAAACGAACCGTAGCTAACTGGAATTAAACAGAACGCCGGCGCTACAAAATGGTCGAAAATAAAGATTCATAACTCCAAACTCTCTTCAAATCTTGACTTACCTCATTCCTCGGTATTTAATGTAATCTTTTCAAGTTTGAATTTCTGTGTTGGCGATATCAAACACATAAAAACAACCGATAACAGGCTTGATCTCGAGTGCATACGTCGAACACGATGGGCGTTATTTTGTTTCTCGCCCCAGTCCCCGCCGCGCAATTATCCATCCTGACTGCGATCCCAAAACCATGTCCACTGTTCACAGCAGTTTGTGAGGAAGCAAGCACGGTGACCCCCGATTTTTTTCCCAGGTATTTGCTAAGAACAGTCCAATAAACAACATATTTGAAGAAGAAAAAAAGTTTGATAGTAGAACAAGATTTTTTTGGGGAAAGTAGTTTCGTATTTGGTGTATTTGAGTCAAGACGAGGACTTCAAGCTAACGAGGAAAAAGCGCAATATACCAAGTTTCAAAAAAACTTTGATAGTAGAACAATTTCAAGGAAATTACCTTAAGCTATGACCACCAAGCACAAAGACTTTTCCTAAAACTTATCTGGAAACATTTTAATTGAAGTTGCCAGGGCAACTAAGTTCTGACACCCAATTTTTTTCCAAAATTTGTTTTTTCTACTACAATGCCGTTTTGCACGACTAAAACGTGAAACTTCCTCGTTACACATTGTTTTTATGGAGGAATTGTCGCATGTGCTCATCAAAAATTTTGTTGCTTGAGTTCCTGTTCGCTTTTATGTTTTTCACTGCCGCTCATCTCAGCTTGGTGGCCGCTAGCATTTCTCATTTTCTCACCGCCGCTATGAAATTTTTATGTTTTCTTCCAACGAAATTCGTCTCCTTTGTTTTTACAGATGGTCTTCTAAAGTGGAACTTTTAAGATATGATATCCAAGTTAAGAAAAAGAAAGAAAACTTCCTCATGGCTTGTTTATGTCCTCCATTAAAGAGATTGAATTAAGCAGTTTCACGTCGTAGTCTTACAGTGACGGCAAAGAATTGTACAAAAACATCTGATGCACTTAATTACAGAGTTGGTGTTTTGATTATTTAACCTCTTGCTCAGTTTTTTTTTTTATGTTCTCATTGCCATCGCCGTCGTCGGAACTTAAGATCTCTGATAAACTCCTTTTGCAAGGAGACATGGACAGCAACAGGAAGTTCTAGGTTACAAATTCCTTTGAACATTTGCTCGAAAATTCCTATAAATTACTACTGACACGCTTACGAGCCAATTGCCTATTTAGGGTCCTTCTGAAATATATGCAGTTTGAGAATTTCTATTTGTTTCTAACTATGTCAATGGAGTGCTTGTAAAGAATATAATTCGGCTTTAATAATGTTCTTCCATCGGTAACAAACCTCTTAATGTTTTCTTGTTCCGTTTAACCACTTCACGAGTCAGACAGGTTACCTGGTCCTTGTAGAAGGCATATGTGATAAGAGGAAGAAACACAGGAGTCAAAATAGTGTCGAGTACGATAAATACATATACAAGAAACCTCAATTTTTTCCCTGGTTGACAGTCAAGTGGCAAACCATAGTTCCACCTTTGGATCAGCAGTCTGTACGACAGTGGAAGCGATACAAACTAGGGAAAAATAAAAGCACAAAAAAGTTGAGTTGTTGGAAAGTAGAACATTTTTGCTATTATCGCTACTTTCGAATTGAAATCTTGTGCTATTTAAAATAATTAATTCTTTCTTATTTCTTTCACGCAATGTATCTCCGACAGAAGCTTTGTCGACGAAGTGTTTTCCTCTCTTTATCAGATTTTCATTTACATTTCCCGTTTTTTTGGTTTTGAATGGTTATCCCGTAAGGCCTGTTGTCTGCAAATATTTATTTCCTTACAGACAGTAGGCTGATTTCCCAGTGGGGGGTTACTCTTGGTGGGGGTGTGCCACCCGGTTCTCCAAATCCTGACCCCATTTTTAGACCAAAAATGTCATTTCCACACCCCTTTTCAGACCTGCCCCCCTAAAATACATATCCGTCTTCCAGCCTGGAGGACTCACAAACGCAACATACGCTTCCCTAAGAAAAAATTTTGTCATCATACCAGGAGCCTATAACCTTAAAATCTATTTCGAAATCACATATAACTCTAACTCTCCTTCTTATTCACTTGGAATTGAAACGACGAATACGTTCATGCACTCCCGTCGTTCCCTGGAAAACCATGCCCGTGATTCCAGACCAAAATAGGCAAAGTGCATACAATGTACCCGTTTTCAGATAAAACGGCGCAAAAATCATACCCTTTTTCATACCTTGAGGAATCTCTATATTTTTCGGCACCTTGCGATATTCTGTGCCTCAGGAAACGTAGAAAAACTTTGTTGTATAATAGCACGGTTTTGTTGAACGTTTAAATCCAGCAGCCATATCATTACAAAGTTTGTGTACCTTTTTCTGCGAAAAGCGAATAGCTGATTCGGTAATACTATCAAGTAAGTACGCATATGGGTCCATATCACTGCTTTCCTCGTGCCCAATTGAGATTTCCTCTTTCGTGTTGATTTGATCCATAAGCGTAACAGAGAAGTCCTCAACCTGCTCTGCTAGCGTAGTAAAAAATACTGCATTGTCGTCTCGATAGTAGGAGAGTTCCCTAAGTTTCGATGAAACCTGCATTAAGAGTAATAAAAAACGGGTGTCCGACATTAGGCTGTGAAAGCGAATTTTGGATTCCCCTGAACACCATTGGACGGCCTTGAAGATGATGGATGATGGTGAACCCGGCCTGAATGAGTGAATAATATTTGGTTGTTTCGAACGGATACAACACCTTCCAACAAAATTGGATCAATGATGTGCTGGACCAACATGCTTGATCTTGAATCCAGAAATGATTATGATGTGTATGAATATCGTGACCTAAAGTAATTCTTGTCGTTGTTGATTTATTTTTGCTTTATATATAAACGGTGAGAAAATGGTTGACAGATTTTATCCAGTTGAAGGGTATGTTTTAGTACGATACAAAACTGCGCCCTTACCCCAACCTGGTTGCCTGGTTAATTGATTCCCACAGCTCTTAATTCTTCCGATCTGAGATGTGAGAAGGAAGGCCGTTTGAAGAGAATCACCTTCGCTGATTTTTTAAACGTTTTCGCGCAGAAAATAGAAAAAGATAGCCGTAGGTGGGTTTTCTGCTCAAACTCAAGTGTCTCGCCATGATTTTTTGCTCTCAAAATATCTTCGCTGCCAAATCACTTGTAAGCGTCTATATAAGAGGAATGATGCTGATACAGACTAACCTCAAAAGCTGTTGTAACTGGATTTTTACAGCGGCACAAATTATTGGCGGTGAAAGCCTCTTCTATTTTGTCTAGAGATGCGTCATCAATGTCCTTTAGAGTGTCTCTAATTTTCAGCTCGGCTGCAATTTTATAAACAAAATTTCCTGCAGATTAGCGCATCTAAGGATGAATTCGCTTAACCAAGAAAAGTATTGACATGACTCCAGCCATTTCAACGCAGAACGATTTTGCTGGTAGCCCGGGGCCTCTAACGCGTATGTGCCGCCAAACAGGGAATTGGTTTTTTAAAAGGTCTCGGTTTCCAAATTAAGGGGCCTGCAGTTTCGTTGCTTAGCGTCTTAAACAAGGCATCTTTCTAGACCCAATACCTGGAACAGAGTTTGAACCTTGAAGGCAGCAAGAGTCAAAATGCTGTGTACTGTGATCAGTGTTCGGCTGCGCTTTTGACAAACATGCGAACTCTAAAGTTCAAAAGCCGCCTTCACAACTGCGTTTTTCGCTGCCGTCAATCATAATTACGATCACAAGCAACGAGCCTTGAAACGCAGAAACACACAAAACGGATTGAAATTCACCAATCACAAATGACAATCCATGACCTTTTGAACCCATAAAAATTAAGTTTTGTTTCCTAAGAGGTCCGTTAAGATGATTGACGGCAGCGAAAAACGCAATCGTCAGTTGGCTTTTGAACTTCTGTCAGAATTCGCATGTTTGTGAAAAGCGCAGTATAAATCACTGAAAAAGCTCCTTTACTCCAGATTAAAGAAACAAAGGAGATGTTCTTTAACCAAGCGTTATGGCGTATTTGGGCACACAGAAGAGGTCTCTTGTATTAAACAAATGAAATGAGAGGATTTGTTGGCCTCCACGGCACACCCTTCCATAAATTTCTCTTATGTCCTTCCTCAACCCGCCTGACACCTAGAATTTTTGTAACAGGCATATTGACTCCCCTATCCCCACATTCCGCCAAAAAATTAACTGACAATTAACAGAGTGAAAAATTAAAATACCTTCATTTAACACATAACTGACTTAAAAAGAAAAAATATTTTGACTTTTCGACTTTTCAGTTTTGAAATATCAGGAGTGATATTTATGCCAAATATCACTTACAAATCATGCTATTATTTGTTTATACTACTTAACCCGTAAAGGTTTTGTAATTATCACATGTAGGTATTTCAAATTAAGCTGAAATACCACTGCTCTATAGCCAATCACTATTGCAGAAATTTCTCATGTAGTAGTACAATTACATTTATAATATAGGGCAAGAAATTTCGGAGATTTGATTGGTTGATAATGGTGGTATTTCTGCGTAATAGAGGTATAACACACAAAAAACGATGTTATAACGAAGTAACCATGACGACAGCATAGTCGCGCATCTCTTTTTTTTTGTTTGCACAAAAATGGGGGCCAGGCTCCTAGAAATTTCCGGGGACGAAATACAACAGCTCGCCGAAAAATCCGTCAACAGAAATACAATCAAAACTACGAAGACCTGGATCAAGGTTTGGAAGATGTGGGCGACAACCATGGGATCTTAACGACGACATAATTGATTTTAAAATACAATGCCAAAGAACTGAACGAGCATCTCTCGCGATTCTTTGCCGAAATTCGCAAAAGTGACCGCTCTGAGTATGAGCAGGATAGTCTAAGGGTCATGTTGGCTGCCATCGACAGACACCAGAGACAAAATGAAAGTGAAATCTCCACAGCAAAGGAGAGAGAATTAATGGTGTGCAGACAAGTCCTTGGAGGGAATAGCAAGTCAGAGCTCTTCGCGAGAAAGACTACGGAAAACGACCAAATGCAACAAAAGTTTCGCGGCTCGTGGTATTTTAGACAATTTTGAAATATCACTCGCGGTGTTATTGCCAAATATTACTACAGCTCATACTATTACCTATATAAAGTATAATTTTCTAGCACTGAAACGTTTTTTCCTTATGGCTATAACCATTTATGACTATTTACCTTCACTTATGTTAGTTCCATCTGTATCGTCGTTAATTCGTTCTATGGGTAACAATAGCAAGAACAACAAAATCATCATCACTGGCGACCTTTAGCCAATCACTAGTAGTTACGACAATAATCTTCTCACCAGCTCATTACTTACGTATTTGAGGTGTTTCGATATAATAGTTTTTCAGAGGCCATACCGATATTTTTCAATCACTTTACAAGTGATTTTATCCTTGTCTGATCGCTATAAAATTTTCACCAATAATTGACTATAAATTGAAATTTTTCAAAATGTGGGTTTTAGTAAAATCAATATCGCTATGACAACAATAAACAAAATTTTAAAATTGATAAACGCCCAATTTTGCGCAATCTAGACTAGCCTGTTGCAGGCTCCGAGATAGTCGGGTCCGCTGAATTGAGAGAGCACGAAGACGAAAATAAAACGGGAAGAAACTGGGGAGAGGAGGGGCGGCGGAGCCTGTAATCATTTCTTTAAAGGACCCGTTCCGGTATACCAGCTCCTGGTGTTCCCTCTCATTGGTCAAATGTGACAGATTATATCAACACTCTCAAAGCGGGTCGTTCCTGTCACTTACTAAGATAGCGTGCGGCGTATTATATTATTTAGATGCTAGGCATTTCCTTACGTGTAACGTATTTTTAGTTTTCTTTTTATTACACTGCATGTAATTATAACTAACCGTTAGACTAAAACTACCTTCTGTTACTATAATTATTCTAAATAATAATAGCCTAGGAGTAAATTATATTAAATTGGTGTTTTGGACTCGCCAATAACAACCAATTTTATGTTTCAAACTGTAGAGTCCCGTATCTTTAACCAAATAAGGTACCTTACAAGTGACGGTATTTTTTCAACTTTGCTCTAAAGGGTTTCCCTGTTTCTCGTGCGTTATGTGTGATTTTCAGATAACACTGATCTGTTATGCAGTTAATCTATTCTGTTTTTGTAATTTTTTTTTGATTTAGCAAATAAATGATTGGTTGGAGTATTCAACAAAACATTCGAGATAGAATTCAAACCTTCATCCTGGTGATCATCCTCTCGTGGAAGAAAATGCTTTCGCCAAAACTCGCGGAAGTTTATTACAGCATCTTCAGCACCTGTTGTTGGGATGCAAGTAAGGCCTATATAAGCGTTGCTTCTCTTCTTCAGCTAAACAATTAAAAGTTTTAAGTTAGGGTGAGCTAAGCTTGAATGTATTTGTGTCAATAAGTGAACTTTCATTGAGCGACCACCACTAGTAAGCAGCTAGCAAACGTTTTATGAGTTAGTTTTGGCTTTGCTTTGAGAGTTAAGCTACATGCAAACGGACGCAACAACTCCCAACATTGTTGGCCCAACAAAGCTAGTCAGAGAGAACCGCACCGCAATATTTCAATGAAAATTTGCTTAATTGTTGCAATACTCTATATTTTAGTTTTGCTCAGGCCACTTAAGGCACGACTTCCTGATTAAATATTCATATTTTAGTAAATGCTATTTAGAACGGTTTGCTTCCATCGGTGCTCCTGAAAAGTGAACTACAAATGAAGCTCAACGAAAAAAACACGTGAGACGTGATTTCAAATAACACGTGACATCGCTCCGTCAATGACGTCACAAAACACGTTTTCGTCAACGGGGAAGGGTTGCAAACCTTGATCTTAGGAATTTTCACTAACAAAATGTTACATAAACAGTGTAAAGCGTAAATTCACGTTGTATGATTAGAAATGTCATTTATCCTATTAGCTATTTAACTTTCCTTATCTTTTTCCCATTTTAGAGTAAATATTTTGACCGTTAATTCTCAATTATCAGTCACGTGACGAAAATTTGAGCTTCTAAAATGCATTCATGTTGCTAAGACCATATAAGCTACATTTGTAGTTCAATTTTCAGGATCATTGTTAGAAGCAAACCGTTCTAAATAGCATTTTATCAAAATATGCATATTTAATTAGATGTCATGCCTTAAGTGGCCTGAATGCTCGCTGTATTGATCTGTCTCTTGTGCGACAAATATCTGAAGCCTCGAAAGGAGTTCAGAATAAAGCCGACGTTTGCTAATTTCCTAAGGAAACTCTCTTCAGCAGCCAACCTCCCTTAAGCGGCCACTTGCCGTTAGCCAGGGGGTGACCGCTTCATGGAGGTGGGTTCAACCGTATATTGCTTGAAGGCATGCATACTGTTGACTACTGCTCCTGTAATTGTCTTTCAATACTAAATGACAATGCGACAACGTGCTTGCATTAGTTTAAAAGGGAAAATTTTCCGCCCCAAAGCACATTAGACAGTTTAAACTTCTAATCACGGAAACGATTCCTTCTTCTTAAAAAAAAAAACAGAATAACTAGGTCCTAATTGTAGATAATTATTAACTACTTATTTATATGTCTTTCGAACAGAGAGGAGAAGTCGTTACGTTACGTTACCACGGTAGCAAAATTTTTGGATGACAACAAACTGATAAAGTCACTTAAAAAGTCTTTTCGCAATTTTTCAAACTTCACCGATCTTATTCAATTTCATTTAATATGGCAAATCTTGGCAAAATTTTCTTTGGAGCCGTATCTTTCGTTATCAAAGTTTAGAAAAAAGAAGGGACAATTTTTGCGTTGTGTCACCTAATAAAGTGGGCTCGTGAAACTAGGAAGTTTCATGTTGTAGTGGTACAACAACGGCAAAGAAATGTACAAAATAGCGTGATGCACGAGCAAAGTTGTTGTTTGTTAAAATAAAACATTATTATTTTTTGCCTTTCCCCTTGCCTTCGCCGTTGGTTTTGTTGTCATCCAGAAACAGTGCTACCATGGTAACGTGACGTCACACTTCTCCTACTATTTGAGCGCAACACAGCGTAGCAATGTTGGAACAATGTTGTAACCATTCGAAACAATGTCGCAACAATGTTGTGATGCTGCGTTGTGCTACAAATCGTCGTTGCCAATCGTCCCGTGTAACATCAAAGAGGGCCGAACGGAAATGGATAGAAGTCTTCCGCGTGAAGGCATAATAGAGAACAATAGCTAAATAACGTCTGATTTTATTTTATTGTACTAACTGCTCCCTCAGTTAGACAAGCATAAGTATAATTAGTACTAGCCCCTTAGGCCCGGTTCAGACGCCGAACGTTTCA